TCTCCCAGTCCCGCACTAGTGCTTTTTATCATTTGATTTGACAGGATATCACATATACAAATTTGAAATAAAGCAAATGAAAAATAAATTATAGCAGTTTATCATTTCTTCTGTTAGGGTTTATGCTATGCATAAAACTTTTGTATAGCTCAAATTTATAGTCAATTCCAATTCATGGTTTTAGATTGATCAAATATATTTTATGAACTGTTCATTACATAACATACTCTCCAAATTTTCTCACAGCATTTATCATGTACTCATGCAATATACAAAAGAAATGAAAGCAAGCACTAAACTAAAGAGTTCATGTTTACAGAACAGAATAGCAATATACTAAAGACTAGAGCACTTCCTATATATGTAGGTCATATGTTTTTAAAATATTTAACAAGAAAATCATCTATTTATAACTATATGCAAAACTCAAAATTAGCACTAGGAGAGAGATAGTATAGTAGTCATATTCAGAGTCCCCAAGACCACTCCTAGGTTTGATGATTTTCTGGACAAATTCACAGGACTCAACAATGTATTTTTCATGGCTATGATTTGTTACAGTTGAAGGATGCAGAACAAAATCAGGAAAGGGAAAAGCACATGGGATGAAGTGCAGAGGAAACCAGGTGCAGACTTCCAAGATCCTCTCCCAATGGAGTCACAAAGGATGGACTTAATTCTTCCAACTAGTTGTGACAACACATGTGAATGTTGCCTACCGGGAAGCTCATCAGACACCCAGTGCTTAAGGTTTCTATCGGGTTACTGTCTCATAGGCGGTCTCTGTCTAGCCTGTATCAAAATTCCAGCCTCCCACAAGGAAAGCAGATGTTCAGCATAAACCAAATTGTTTGTAAAACAGTTTAGACACAGTGAGCCACTCTCATCAGGTAGGGAATGGTGGGAACACTTCTGAAATCCAAATTCCCAGACACCAGCCAAGAGCCAGCTTTGCAAGCCGGCCTTGCTAAGGATCACAGTCTCAGTCCTGCTGTGTCATCTCTTTTCTGCACGGTAGTTAAAAGTACAAGTGTGTAATCAGATGACCCTAGGCTCCTATCCACATTCTACCACTTAGATAGATGTGACCTTGAACAAGTTACCTAAACACTTTGCATGCCTAAGTTTTATCAACTGTTACATAGCTTATTAATTAGACAATCACATCATTGGATTGCCATGAAAATCGTATGCAATAATGCATGTACAATTATTAGCACACCAGCTGCAAAGAGAAATAACTCAATAAATTTTGATTAATAATAATAGTGTATGTGGCAACTACCTTCTCAGAGCTTAGAATGGGCTGTATGAACAAGACTGAAATGAAATAGAGATTAAATAAGTGTTTTGTTTGTGTGTGTGTGTGTTACCCACGTAGTTGCAACAGTGATTCTGAAAATGGGCAAGCACTCTCTGTAATTTATAAGAACCCACAAGAGCTTCCTTGCCAAAATAAGTGTTCTTTTGCTAAGTGTTATGGAGCCGCAACCGTAAAAGACAGAAGTAGCTGACAGAAGTAGCTTTCAGAAGACAAAGTAGCTGAAATATGGAGGACAATATTGTGATCCTTCCACTGCTCTCTGATGAAGCCTTCCTTTACAACCTCATAACTAGCGTGAAAATGACTATTATACTTGACACTAAAAATTTGGAGAAGGGTTGGAAAACTGGATCAGAAGAAATTAGTGGGTACATCAGGCTGATTTAAGTACAGTCTGATACTTTTGTGAAATAACACATTATTATTCTTGCACACTTTTTTTTAACTGCTTGACAAGCAAATAGAACAAATCATTTTGATGAACAATACCTTTGCTCTACTTAGATATGGGCTCAGATACAACTCCCGGCCAGTAGAGAATTTGCTTTTTTGACATAACTAATGATTAAACATCATGATTACTTGAAAAACACATGCTGAATAAAGACTTCTGGAATGATTGAATTAATAAATAGGTGAATGTGTGACCTCAGAGTATTCTTAGGCCTAAGATTCATGAACAAGAGACACCTGTGAGGCTAGTTTATGTTTAACAAAAATCACGTGTGATGAGAATTCGTTTGTTTTTTTGAAACTTCGTCTTTCTTGTTCATACAATAAACCAAGCTGCCCACAGGTTGGAGAGAGGTATTGGATGGTGGTGTGTTTTACATCTAATGTTAGATGCCTCCTCAAGCTAATATTAATCATTTAGAGATTCTTTACAAAATAAGTACATTTTATTCTATAGCATAATTTTAATTTTTATTCACAGCTGTTACAAACTAGAAATATTTTATAAGCATTTGGTATTCAGGGGTTAGGAGCTTTGATTATTTCTAAATGACTCACTTGTAAAGTATGTCTTTTTTTTGGCTAGAAAAAGATTATAGATGAATTATGTAAATATATCCCTTGCAGGATATCATTTAACTAAAATACATAATTTAAAATAAAATAATTCGTTAAAATTAGAGCTCTCATTACATCTTGACAGATGCCACTGTAGAAATTATCAAAGCCTCCTCAAAAAGAAAAAATGCCAACATATCTAAATGTTTTCTTTAGTGGCTACCCTTAATTAATCACAGTAATGAAAAAAAGTCTTGATGTGGTTATCTCAACATAGAGATAGAATTCTTTGCCATATATTGCAAATTAAGTTGTGATTCATAGCCTATGTTCAAATTTAAATGTACACCATCTAGGCAAACACATTTATAGAATTTAGTAATCACTTAGCTCATTTGTTAGTTATCCAGGCACCGCATAGAAAATGGTATATGTAAGGTCAATGATACCGAGAAGAGATCGTTAATAGTCCAAGTAATTAATAAATGCCTTTGAATTCATTGTGATAGTCTAGCATTTATCAAAGCATCCATCACAGCTCTTCAAATAACTTGCTGATTCTTTCTTCTGAACTATAATACATTGAGGATTATAGTTGTGTTTTTATTATTTTCATCTTTGGCGGCCATCAACCAGCTTTATACTAGGAGCTCAGGAAATATTGCCTTGAACTGACGTGACATAAGCTGAATTGAATTGGGAAGCAATTTTGAGAAAAGGAATCCACACCTAACTTCAGTAATTAATCCAAGTCAGTTTATTCTGACTCTCCCTTTCTCACAAAGGCTATTTGAATTTAGCTATATGCTTTCTAATAAAAATTCTCATTTCCTAAATCACATACATATTATATATAAAGCTATATTATATATTATATATATACATATATACACATATATATACGTAATTTCTTCAGGTGAGTTTTACCATACTAAGGACAGAACTCTATTCTTTCATACCATCTTCTACAATTTTCGTTGATTTTTTCCTCTAACCCTTTTGTTTTTATAGAGCTATTTTTCATATGGCTCTTTTTAGTTTTATTTTGTTTGGTATTAAATGCAAAATGTGGTATTCTGTTTTTGAGTTTTCTTTTCTAAATTTATATATTACCAATATCCTTTCAAACGAATTTGTGCAGTAATATTAAATACTATTAGGCCAAGGTTTTATTTCAAACTTATAAAGAGTAAAAATAATAACTAGTCATATGAAAGAATAAGGCTGTATTGATAAGTAAATCTCAATGTATTTTAAATACTATCTATCTAGAAATTCCCAAGTGCAGTGCAACAGCATGTAGCAAATTTTAAAATTACAATATAAACTAAAATTAATTTTATTTTTTTGGCTAAATTTTGGACTGAGAACACTGACCAAATGTAATATTTTTTTCTCAAAGCAATGTCCCTAGTTTCAGATGAAATATAATTTTAAGTTGAGGAAATGTCAAAGCAAACCATTTACGCATTGACAGGTCTCATAAGATAATATGGATTTTCCTTGAATCTAAGATATCCTCAGTCGTTAAGTTGCACCATTGTTTGATGTACCACTAAAGAAAAAAATGCTGCCCATTAAAATAAGACACGGCACTTTCTTAGGCTTTTATTTTGTAATTACCAAAAGAGCTTTTTTAGGCATAGGTAAGCATAGATTATTTTAATCACTCCTGAATATTTTATACATACACACACACATACATTTATGTCAGAAAATGTAGGTTAAATAAATTGAGTAAGGCATTCCTAAACCTTCTTCCTATTTAGTGTCTGGCTTTCCTAAATTACTTTTTGAGTCAGAGTCCTTAGTGTTCGTGTTTCACCATAAGATTGTTCTCTGTGCCAGTGAGGCAGCAAAACTGAATAGATATCCACCATTTTCTCTGGTAATTCCATCTAAACTACTGGACACATTCTGTAAGTTTTGCTGGTACTTTCTTGATTTTGCCAGAATGTGTCAACAGAAGATTTTTCAGATAAAAATCAGGATTCATATCATATTCCTTTTCAAATGGTCTTGAAATGGTTTGATTGAAACGTGAGGTATCACCATTGTCCAGCCAAGCCACAGAAATAACCAAATTCCAGCATGCTTAGGTCATGATAGCTACATTACTACCATGACTGCCACCTGACGCACAGGGATTGTTGAGACCATCAAGGGTAAGACATCCTTATTTCTAATAAGATATGAAAACAACGGATGTCTTAGAATCGAAGAAATATGGTATTAAAGAAAAATCACAGTGGTGTATAATAGAAAAAAAATGAGCTCTAATTAAGGGCATATATGTGTGTGCTCACACACACACATTATTCTAGAAAACAAAATTCTAACACAGACAAGTCATTTTAATCCCTAGATTTTTGTTACATAAATTTACCTGCATTTATTAAGATATTTAGACATTTTAGCTATGTCCCATTGAAAAACTCTCCTATCAAAAGTTGAATGATTACGGTCATGACAAACTATATGTTAAACACTTTTAATTTATTATTTTATGTGATTTCATATATCTGATTAAAGATAACCCGTCAAACTGATGGGGAAGTATTGAAAAGTCCTCATTATATTCCATGCAAACTGATATTTTTCTCTGAACGTTAAAACGTGCTTTCTCAACTTTCAAAATGAACAGATGTTAAAAATAAATAATAAATGCCCCAGCCACTGAATGTTTCTTGCTCTCCTCTCCGCCTCAGGTCCCGTAAGCAGTGTTTTGGTGAATAGGTACGGGAGCCGGCCGGTGGTGATCACAGGAGGTCTGCTGTGCTGTTTGGGGATGGTCTCCGCCTCTTTTAGCACCAACGTGGTAGAGCTCTACCTCACCGTGGGATTCATCGGAGGTGAGCGAGGTTTCGTTTTCAGCTTTTTCTCTTCTTAACATTCTGCAGTTGACAAAGCTCTGTAAGAAACACGAACGACAGAAAATTTTTTTTTGTTTTCTTTGAATTAACTTGTTATATCGGATGTTATCTTAAAGTATTTGCATCTAGTGCATTGAAATACCAGCTATAGAATGGCCAGTCCGACTCATTTCAGGAAACGGACAAAACGAGTTATCAAACAAGTGTATTGCCGTCATATAAAGGTCAAAATAACCCAGCTTTGTTTGTTTTTACTGTTTTAATCTTTACTCTTCAGCCAGTTAAGATGGTACTGTGGACACAGACTTTCTGGCATAGATAGCTTCATTTTTTTTAAATTTATTTTTTGTTACTTATTACCATTTAGAGTATACGAATTATCACTCATAGTTAACTCATAGGTTAAAAATGATGCCAAAAAAGTTTCTGGGTGCACTGTTTTCACTTTAACAATAGAATTGTTGTCTGTGCTCTGATCAGTGGTCGAGCTCTGTGTCAGTGTCCCTTCTTTTCCTTCTTAAAGGATTCCAACAGTTGGAAAGCCCTGTAAGACACATTTGCCACTAAACACAAATGTGTTTAAATGACATCCTGTCACTTGATCATAGTTGTTTGACTCAAACTGACCTGAATATGTACATTTGAAAACACTGTTTTGTTAGCCTCAACAATAAATTGCGTTAAACAAATCTACACTCAAAGTTTTAAAAAAATTAGACTTCAGGATATAAAGAAATTGAATCTTTTCCTTATGTCCACAGATAAAAAGGTAAATATATTTCTCTTTTTGTAGTGATTTTAGATCAGTCTAAACTTGCACCTATGTTTCATTTGATGAAAAAAAAATTAAATGTATTAAAACCTTATCACAGTAACAGTGATGTTAAAATTTTTCTCTTGACGACTCTTCCTTTTTGATTGGGTAAAACACCTTTTCACGTTGTAGATGAGAATCTTTTTATATCTAAGAATTGTCATAGTGGAGAGAGTGCTCTTTGCTTTGTGCCGAAATACTATGTATTGCATTTGGCCATAGAAGTCAGACTGGGCCTGCAAGTAGATGTATTAGGAAAAGATGATTTTGATCTGACTGTGCCACAAATATCAACAGCGTTATGTATTACTCTGACTTCGATTCCATTCCTTTGGGTCTTGAAGGCTTTGGTGCTTCTAGAGTCAACCATTATATATGGTTTATAGCAGGGATTTATTTCCAGTAATCATCAACCAATACTTCTCTGCTATCTGAAATCAGACAGGTCTAGTTGCTAAACCCGACTCAGCACGTATGAGCCATGTGATCATGAGTAACTTAACCTTCTTATCCCTCAGTCTCTTTGTCTTCAAAATGGGGAAAATGATAACTCTTTGGGAGCTGTTGGAAGGATTGATGTAAAAAGTGAATATGTAGTACTTTACAGAGTGCCCAGCCTTTTATTACTTTTAAATAAATATTAGCAAATAATAATAGTCACAATGCTGTTTATATAACATGTTACAGTTCTAGAACTTACTTGATTTGGGCAAAACGCTTTTTTTGTGGTTGAAGGAATTGGAGCTCAAGAAGTCTGTTTGGTCCAGGGGTATACATAGGCAAGTAGTTGAAATAGGTTCAGGTCTTTGGATTTCAAATCTCACTTTTTTTTTCTTCTTTTTTGCCATACCAGAATAGGAAATAGATGGCCACTATCTCCTAAAGAGAATTTGGTTTAGCATCTGAAGGCAGAATTCCAGGTGACAGATTAGGGGTCGGGGAGGCAGCAGCATAAAATAAAGAAATTTGAACTTTGACACACAGTTCCTGGGTTTTAACTTAGGTTCCTCCGCTTAGAATCCACGTGGCCACAGGTTGGTAGTTTTCTTACCGACAGGTTGTATCTAGCTATGCTTGTTCTGCATCTCTCACAGGTGTGGCTGAGGTAGAATCAGAACGCTCCCCTGTGCCTTTCCACAGCATCTTTTTGTTCCTTCAGGTCAACTTTTAGGGACCCTCCTACTCATGGAAAACCTTTCTATTAAAGGTTTGGAATGAGTATTTTGTACACAGAACTGAGTGTCCCGGAATCTAAATACTTAACGGCTTTGCCCTACTGTGTCATTTACATCAATTAGTAAATGCAGAGGAATTCTTGCTTCTATAGCCCCTAAAATAATATAGAATAATACCAAGGCTAAGGGGGAAAGAGAGGTAGTTTATATAAATCAATTTTATGTACTTCTCAAACAAACATTCACTACTATTGCTAAATATTCCTTTGGCTAGCTCTAAGAAGGAATTCATTTCTCAAAGGTGATGCTCAACACTGCTGAGGAGTCCCCTAGACAGTAGGAACTTTTGACTTATATAAACAATCAGCTTAATCCAAGAATTAAGAATATATTTCAAGCAAAAAAAAATTTATTTTTTTAGTTAGCATACGTGTGCCTCTGTATTTATGAAATAGGGAATGTGAGGGATACATACCATGAAATTAATGGCATGAATTTATTACTCTTTTTTATTATTTGCATGGTTTTGAAAGAAATATCTTTGAGGGTTTGTTAGGTTGTTTATAAATGATAACCTGTTTAGTCTTTTCACATTTCTTCAACTCTAAAAAGGAAGTATTCACATTTTAAATGCATTCTTGCCCACAAGAAAGAAATCTATTCTGTATATGTGTATATAGGTATAGAGAGTTTAATTTATCTGTGGAAGTGATTGTAATTAAGAACTAATAATTTTGTCCTAGTTTTAGCCTGTTCTGATTATTGAAACATCAGTAGAAGTTCTTGGCTTTATTTTTGTGCTTTAAAATGAAAGGAATATGAAGCTGTCATACATATCCTATCCAGTTATGAGAACCTTTCTGTTTATCTGGAATTCTATTGATATTTACAGTTATCAAAAATTACTGCCTGCCCTTGCATTTTCAGTTCTGCCTTCCCCACTTGAATGTACGTTTTGAATAGTAATTGCTTTTGTGACTGGCATAATGTGTTTGTGTTTTTTGTCCTTTTCTTTTGTTTTTTTAGGTATAGGTCTAGCCTTCAACCTGCAGCCAGCTTTAACAATCATCGGCAAATACTTCTATAAGAAACGACCCATGGCGAATGGACTTGCCATGGCAGGAAGTCCTGTTTTCTTAAGTACCTTGGCTCCTTTCAATCAGTACCTTTTTAATACTTTTGGCTGGAAAGGAAGCTTCTTGATTTTGGGAGGTATATTGTTGAACTCCTGTGTGGCTGGGTCCCTCATGAGACCCGTTGGACCCAAACAAACTAACAAGGCTAAAAATAAGATTGGCATAAAAGCAGATGAAGCAGAGGCTAAGAAAAGCCATAAGAAGTCACTAAGCGAAAAAATTAATAAGTATTTAGACTTCTCTCTTTTTAAGCATAGAGGATTTCTGATATATTTATCTGGAAATGTCATTATGTTCCTAGGGTTTTTTGCTCCCATTATATTCTTGGCTCCGTATGCTAAAGACAAGGGGATTGATGAGTATTCTGCAGCGTTCTTGCTGTCTATTATGGCTTTTGTTGATATGTTTGCTAGGCCTTCTGTAGGATTAATAGCAAACTCCAGATTTATCCGACCCCGAATCCAGTACTTCTTCAGTTTTGCGATCATGTTCACTGGAGTATGTCATCTCTTGTGCCCACTGGCAGAGGACTACACAAGCCTGGTGTTATACGCTATATTTTTTGGCCTTGGATTTGGGAGTGTTAGCAGTGTCCTCTTTGAAACTCTCATGGACCTTGTTGGTGCTCAAAGGTTTTCCAGTGCCGTGGGACTTGTCACAATTGTGGAGTGTTGCCCGGTTCTTCTTGGCCCTCCTCTTGCCGGTAAGAATATTTCTCATCAAAGGAAAGCAAAAAGCATAAATTAATATCCATTAGCTGAGACTTTCTTTGTCGTGTATAACGTAGTTTGTAATAATAAATACGAATAGCCTAAAAGACTGTGGATATGTTAACTTTAGGTTTTTCATATATTTTTAAACTCATAATTTGGCAATTTTGGACCTAAATTTGTTTCAGAGCCTGGACCTGTGAACATATGAATTTAGGTTAGGCTGATAATTAGTAGCATAATTTTTAAGCTTTTACCCATATCCAGTTGTTTTGTGTTTTTAAAAACGTATCAGAAAAATAAAATGCCACTTTTTCATTGGTAAGCAGATTTCTCTTCTGCTTGTATTAAAATGAGTCAAAAGTTTAAAATAATGTTCTTAAAAGGTCAGGATCTATTTTCTTATTGGAGTACATTGGTTATGTTAATTTGGAACTTGTTACACACCAAAGGAAAGAATGCTTTTATATCACTGATAGGAATATAGGAATATGTGTGTGTGTATATATGTATATGGAACGCAGGAATGAAGGGAAATTCATTTAAGGTCATTTTTTGATCAAATACTTATATTCCATATGTATAAAGATTACCTTTAGATTTTAAGATCTGAGATATTTTTAATGATGCCTATAAAAAAAGCTGTGCGAAATTACCCAACCAGGAGACTAAGTAAAGGCAAATGTGTAATCATTTTTGAAGTTAAGACTTTGTTTAGTCTTAGACTTTAATGTTTTAAATATTAAACACTTTTTGCGAGCCGGTCTTTTCCAGTAACACCGCATGTTGTCTCGGTTAATACTAATCTTGGGCATTCACCTAGACCTGTGGCCTGCCCCCTAGTGGTCAGAGTGACTGCGGGGGGGCCAACACAAATGTTTCCATGTGTTTTAGTCGTGACCTTTCACCTTTTGCTTCTTGGCTTGGTCAGGAATGAGCAGTGTAGTTGTTGACTTTTTCTGTCCACCAGGAGGCTGGTATCGAGCACAGATGTTTTGGGTGGTATATCTCTCACCATGAATATACCATGGCACCAAAACAATTTTCAAAGAGTGAAAGCCAGCAGACCTTATTTATCAGCCAACTGATTTTTTTATATAAGACAAATACAATTGGCCTGTCTTTTCACACAGATTTAGTTTTATCAAATGGGTTTGGGAAGCCTATTCATTGGCAATAAAATTTTTAGTATCAGCAGAGAAAATTGTTTTTCACTGCTATGGTGGGATGAAAAAAAATCAAGTCTGGTCAACAGACACAGTGGGTGGGCTCAAAGGATGAAAATGAGGGAATCTGATTTACCCACTCCTACCTGTGCGAGAACCTGTATTATTAACATTTACATCAATTTCAGGAGCCTTGAGTGTTTATTGTGTTATTATTGCCAAACCATTGTACCAGTGGTGGCCATGGTAGTAATTGACTTGGGGCTCCTTGTTGAAGCTCGCAGACCACAGCCATAATAGATCCATGTTTTTTGTTCTGTTTCTGCCTGTTGCTACCCCTGGTTCTCCTTGACTTTTAGATGGTTTCTCCCCTATAGCATCAGGTCACTGCTAGGCTGCTGTCTGGCACAAGTAGGCACTCAGCAAGTACTTCTGAATGAATGAGTGTCATAGTTACTTCTTACACAGTTGCTGCTGCCGCTTCTCTGGTTAGTAGAGCAGTGAACGGTAGGGAGAGCGTGATTTTATTTCTGTTTTTTTAACCCAAACTTTCCCTGCAGCCCTCACAAAGAGCTGAATGAAGCGTTAGTGCTGGAAATCATATCTGGATTCTTGATGATGCTAAAAACTTCCCAAAACATTTAGAAAGTATGTTGAGATGGCAGCCCAAAGTGATACTAACTCTGATGGGGCCGTAGACTGAATGTTTCCATATTTGGAAATGTAACAATCGTTGTATGAATAGAAATACTTGACTACAGTTAGAATGGAAAATTAAATTATGCAATTTTTGTTATGTTTATGTATATGTCATACTTACTCAAATGAACCTTTCCACCATTTACCTAATTAAAACAGGAAGCTTTGTTTAAATAATTTCACAAGTAACTAAATTTAATACTGAGCCACTGACTAGATTGCGGTCAGAATGCTAAAAATTCTGACTCAACAAACAGGTCTATATCAGAATCATCTGGAATATGCATATGATAAGTAATACAGATTTGTGTACACTAAAGTTTGCTGATACTAATTATTAGGAATTAGGTACCTGCATAAGCAAGAGGCAAAACTAAGTATCAACTGAAACATTTTTCAAAGTCAATAAACCTTCAGATTATATGGCACCAGGCTAGTTTTTAAATGTCTCAATAATCAAATGGAACAAATACTTTCTTCCTGATTAGTTTGGCCTTAGTAATTTAGATTCAGGTAAAGAAAAAACTGTGATTAGCCCAAAAAATGAGATGACACTTAACCAAGAGCTTTGGTTAAGCCATTTTGCAGAGTAGTTAAGAATATGAGATTCAGACAGACCTTAGCTAGAGTCCAGATTCTGCCACTCTCTGGCCATGTAATGATGGTCAAAGTACTCCCTAGCACTCTTGCAAGGATTAAATGAGACCTTACAGATAAAGTGTTTAACCTAGTACTGGGCACAGAGAAAACATTTAGTAAATATTATGCCCTGCCAGGAACCTTATAAAAGCCTTTGGGTCCTTTCCTAATGAATGTAATTTTTCCCTCTTTGTTGAAAAGATTGGAAGCATAGAAAGATAAAGCAATCTCAATGTGTATGCTATAAATAAATTGATAAATATATCTATCTCTACACATACAGAGATCAAAAATGTACCTCACGCATGTATATATTTATGAATATATACACAAACACATATATATCTACTTTGTCTTGGTTGTACATTTTTATTGAATTTCAATAAATTTGACACACTGGTAATGTAGTGCTGTATGTGCCTATGCATGCCTTTACTATGCATATATAAAAGTCATGATCTAGAATATTATTTTCTTTGTTAAAGTCTCATTTAATATTAAATAAGAAATAGGTATGCACTTTGGGGAAGAGTTTATTTGAAAATGCTATCATTTTATGGCTGTTTTATTATACTATCTTACAAGGTATTCTTTGTCTCTTAGGTAAATTGGTGGATGAAACTGGACAATATAAATACATGTACATAGCCTGTGGCGCCATTGTGTTCCTATCCAGTGTGTGGCTGCTCATTGGTAACGCTATAAACTATCGATTGCTTGCAAAGGAAAAGAAGTTGGCAGAAGCAGAGAAGAAGATACATAAGCCTGAGTCCACAGAATCTGAACCCTTGAGCAAACCTAACCATTCCGATGTTAATGTCCAAAGCGCGAGAACAGAGGATCATCCCTCAGAAAGAGAAACGAATATTTAACAAGAACCGCATCTCTGATTTCAGTGTTTATGACTCTCCTAGGAGTATTTCTTTTTTTCAAAATATTGGAAAGGTTTTTTAAGTGAAATTTGGAGTCATAATTAAGGATGGAGATGAGATTTTCCTCAATGGCAAATTTCAAATGTTTGTGTTTTTTAAAACTTATTTGGGCAGTTAACTGTTGAGATGATGCATGCAAAGCATCCACGCAATGGATTTATTTCCATACATGACTCTGGTTGTGGTGGTTAAAATAATTTTAAAGTCTTCCAGTGATTTCCAGTCTTGGTTATGGGGACTGAATCCCAAATGCCTGGTTTAAGTAGTTAGAAGGAGTGTGTTTAATCGTGTAGGAATATCCTTTCCACATTTCATTTGATATTAAAGTATGAAATGGAATTGAGGGAAAATGAATTTTCGCCTCATGCACCCACCCACCCACATGCACACAGTCTCACAAACTTACGCACATGCACACAGAGTATCTGGAGAACAAAAGTTCCAAAAAATATTATCACCCTACTTTTTTTTTTTACTTAAAAAAACATCCATGGGGAAAAAAAGAAATGTATTATATCTGCCTTCTATTTTACAGCGTGGATTTTAAAGATAAGAACATGGGTGAAAATGAGGGTGACCTTAATTTGAAAATGCAACTAACTGCTGTAAAAAAAAGTGTTTGCATTTATAAAATAAATTTTAAAAGAACACTCCATTTTATACCATTATTTGATTTGATTCATCCGTGTACATGATTTCTTTGAGAGCGGCCATCAGTACCTGGTGCTAGAGAATAGAACTCTCAAATAATTTTCAAAATTCTGACCTAATATGTAAATCAAATTAGAAGCCTAAACAACTGCTAGCAGTGGGCTATGTCCATAGATTTTAAAAAGATTTTAGTTAGTAATCCAGAAAGTCATAACCAAGGACTTCTTTTAACCAGAACTCAATCCAGACTCACTGTCCTACCGAGACATCAAAGTCGAGTCCAACGGAATCCTGGTTGACAGGTGTATAAATTGGCCGCATTCTGATTTCTCCCAGCACACAGCCATGATTGCAGGGTTACTGCTAAGCGTAATCCATTTGAATAAACTACAAATGGGAGGTGCTTATAATGAGACCTCCAAACTCTCTCCTTCCCTCCCTTCCCCAAAAAGCAAAAGCAAAAAACAGAAACCCAAACAGGCTTTTTACTCAGCCGCTGGAAATGACTCATATTATAGGAATGGCAGCCCTTGAAAATTTCGCCCTGTACTGATTAGACTTCCTACTGCCTGTGAACAAAACTAAACCAAGAGAGTGTTGAAGAGGCTTCTAGAATTGGAGGCTGTGTGTGACTTGGTATACCCTTGTGAAGTGCATGTACAGTTTATAACACGATAGCAGGAAGCTGGCCATACTGCAGCCCAGGTTAACTTAGCAGTTTCTCATTTTCATAACTGTGAAAAGATCTGGGAATCTGAATCACTCGCGTACAGAGACATATGATAGCTCTGTGCAATCAGAACTATAAATACCTCTTCGAGTGATAAAGTACTTTTAAACAAGAAAGAAGATGTGCGTTATGGTTAAAGTTATAAATATTTACATCTATAGATCTGAAGTTTAAATTAAGTTCGTGATTAACAGAAAGCATTTTGTACTTGATGATTGACGTGATGTCACTCTTAAACTGTCAAAAGGAATTTGCCCTGCATTTTTTTTTTTTATTGCAGTAGAAGCAGATGCTCTTCTTCTTTCCTGTAAGTTTGCACCTGGATACCAAGCTTTTGTGACAGTTAACATTGAGGATTTGATTTGTAAAATGTGTGCATTGTTTAAGCATGTGGCTCATAGTTAGTAAGCTATATAAAATTCCATATTTCATTTAACATTCGCTTTTTGCATATGAAGAGGTATTTATATTTTTCAAATATAAGTAAAACGATATGTGCCAATACCATTGGTAAATAAATCAGGGAAGATGTGGCAGTATGTGGCTGTTTTTAATTTAGTTTCACCCAATCTTGAGTCTTGACTGAGCTACTTTTATATTATTAGCACTTTTGTATTCAACTCTGACTCGCCATAAGAAATGCGACATCATAAATTGTGTAGTAGCTCTCCAATCCTAAACATTTCCAAAAAAAGTGTCTTGAATTCTCTAAAGATATATATTTAAGCTAATATAGATATCAGACCCCCGGGGGAAATAAACAGCAAAGTAAGGAGGGAGGGGTTTTAGGCCTAAGGCTGTATAGTCCCTTAATCACCTGCTGGTGAGACAGGCTGGTGGTGCCTTCCAGGGGCTCTCTCCATGAAAGGAGGTTTATTGACTTACCGATGAGTTTCTTGTTAAGTCAAAACCAATTTCTATTTGTTCTATTGTACTTTGGTCACCTGCATCAACTTTGCATTTCTAATCCTGATTCTATTAAATTGTTAAAAAAGAGAGGGAAGTCGAAGTTTGCGTGTTTGAAGCACATGGTCTGTAGACCCACGTGCCTGGCAGTCACTCTGCATCAAGTTACAAACAGGCACGCAAATTAAGTCCCAAACGTAAAGGTTGAAAATTAAATCGGTACTCACTTGGAACAGGGACGTAACTCACATACAGGATTCGGATTTGTTCGAGGGTAAAATTAATTTTCCTTCTTGTTCACTTTCCCCCTCCCTTGAACTTGTTGGAATATTTGTTGCTTTAACAGAATCTTTCAAAGATTGAAAAGAGAGTATCAGCCTAGAGCATTCATTATTAAATAGTCACGTAAATGGAGGAAGAAACATAGTTGGCTTCTGTGTCTGCAACAATTCGTGCAAAATATACTTCTTCCCCTAAGGAAGGACAGGTTTTAGATGTTCAAGGTATCATCAAGCAAAGTCAGTACACCATTAACATCGTTTTTAGTCCCATTTAATCCCATTCTCCATTATGGAATTGTGCAGAAGGAAGCTTATTATAAACCAGAATACCAAAATAATTCTTGCTCACTGGCTAGTTCAAGTACTTTTCTGTTTGTGATAACTGAGTATCCCTTATTTTTCACGCTTTAACCTTAAATATGCCTTCACTAATTTATGAATAGAATATTCAGTATAGACTTGTCCTGACCTGTTCCCACCGTCTTTCCTGATCCTTTTTGGATCCAATCAGCACACATTTAAGAGGCAGTGGGTCAGACTCTAGGCTATTTTACGTTGGAAAACATGATGTTTTCTTGATGTAAATCTACATGGTTCGTAAGTTTCACTTCTTTAGTACCAGGTTCCAACCACGTCATCTCATGCCCCCCAACCCCCACTGGATGCTAGGAAATAAGTAAAATAATTAGGTTTGATATATTTGAATGTGCACTTTAAAATCTAGGTATTTTTTACTCATCCTTCTCTGGCTGCTTATGACAATTGAGGATACAGAAAAACGACCACAAGCTGTGTGATATAAATGTAAGTTTTTATATTGATGTTATCAAATATAGAAATATCCTTAATCAGTTAGTTGAAACTTATTTTCCATCTAAAAATATCTTTTTTTAAACAAAAACACTCTCTTATGTATAATGTTGCAGACTTTTAATAAAACAAAATAAAAAATCACGATCATTAGGCTCAATGTAATAGGGAGAAAGGATGGAAAGTGGGAAGGGAACTAATATTTATTTGTCACACATTTTGCCTGCATAATACCTTTTAATAATCAAACCAAATCATGAGTAGAGGCTATTGGCCTGATATAATAGATGAGTGAAACAAACAAACAAAAAAACAGACAAAGAAGTTCAGGAAATTACCCAAAGTTAAAAGGTAGTATGTGACAGAACCAGAACTAAAACTCAGGTTTGTCTAAAAGCAGAGAGAGCCCCTTAGGTGTTGCATGCTGTCCCCTAATAGAAGCTGTAGAAGCAAATGTAGATAAAATATAGATACAAAAAATTTAAACCCTGTATGGTAAACCAATTAGCTTTAACTGTAATTTGTATTATAATTTATTTAGTGTTTATTAGGAATTGCATTTGCAATAATCTGAATATATAATTCTAAGTTGCCTGCCTTTCTAGCCAATGCAAATTATCCCAAATAATGGTAATGATTATATAATAGCTGTAATTGTTTTAATGTGACTTTTTTCATAAAAATAATGACATATTTATATGACTCAGCGTAATATATTTTCCCTGAGGTTGGGTTTAGAAGAAAAATGTTATTTTCTTTATGGATAAGTAATTCCCATATTGGTTGCTACTTGTTATGGCTCAAAAATGAAAAGTACTTACTATGAAACATCTTATTCAGGATTATAGTGATTCCCATATATAGGATTATCCCAAGCTACCAAAAAAATTTTTAAAAAGTTATGCGATACAAATGATTTGGTTTATCTATGCTGTATATATTTATTTTCATCATTCAATGCAACTGCCCCTGCCCCCAACTCATTTTTCACATTTCCCTGAACATCTATATTGTCATTCTCCTTTCTGTCCGTTGTTCTATAGAGAAAACAAGTGCCATTGCTTCTGCCCTCTCCATGTACTTTTGACATCCTTAGAGTATTGTTCTCCTTAGTTCTATTTCAGACAGTGTCTATTCAGACAGTGCACGTCTGATGTCTTACATCCTTCACACAGTCACCCATGCTGCATCTGGTTTTATTTATTTGTGATTTTCAGAAATGGCCATATTCCTGGAGCCAACAGTATATACTTTTGGCCATGATCACTCATCTTTACAAATAAGGGCCTGTCAGCTTGGTTTCCTGGATAAGGAAGGTGTTTATATTCTAGAAAACTTTTAGTTAATATGAGTCTTCCTTATGCGTGATAAAAAATAATCGAGTATGATTTTTAAGAATATAGAAAAATCGATCTTCCTATTCTTGTCACTTACTCTTCTGGATGTTACTCATTTTCTTAAAGTGCCTCACAGCTTTGAGAAACAAAGCTTACCATCAGAGCATAACACCATTACATATCATCCTGTAGACTCACTTGTGAAGTGACGTCACTGATACATCATACCAAGTAGATTTCTTATCACAACGGTTCACAATACCAAAAAGCGTCAAAACTATTGAGATAAAAATTGCAATTACAATCTTTTCTTTACTCATGTCACTTTTTTTCATGTTTGAGAAATGCATTTAAAAGCTGAGAGGCCCAATTATCAGTAATTAATTATAATGCTTGTATAATCAAAATCATAAACTATATTTATAATTAAAAAGTGAATAATTTGCTGAACTCACATCATTTTTGGTAGTTCTGATTTCTCTTCTTTTCTATCAATTGGTTGTATGCTGTAGATTTTAACTCTTACAGGGTCCTACCGTCTGGTTTAATTTATCCCTGAGCTAACATCTGTGTCCATCTTCCTCTACTTTATATGTGGGATGCCCACCACAGCATGGCTTGCCAAGCAGTGCATAGGTCCACATCCAGGAGCCAAACCAGCGAACCCTGGGCCGCCAAAGCAGAACGTGCAAACCTAACTGCTGTGCCACTGAGCCGGCCCCTATATGGGAATGGTTTTAGACCAAATTATTTCTCTCATCCCAGTTGCGTGCTGCTTTACCTTCTCCCCCTCCTTTTTTTCCTATAATTATTATTAAAAATTATTTTCCTTTCATTATTTTTCACAATGTGTGGGTCAGCTTCTTTAAGGTTTTTCATCTAATTATGGACATTTTTGACAGAATTTTTGTTTCTTTCTTCGAGTTTAGTTAGACTTCCCCTATTTGCATGATCTCCATGTGTTTCAGTCTTCATATGTACTTGTTAACGAGGTGAGTAATGTTCAGGAATATTTCAGTAAGCAATTATTCAGTGATCATAAATTTGTTACCATTTCAACAAAACAAATTTTTCTTTCTTTGTTTTAAATCCAAATATGATGAAGTCAGCTAGAGAAGCTCTGAATGAAAATGCTGAGAGTCGGCATTGTGCTAGGGCCTGACTCGGTAGAAAGTACTGTTCAGATGCACCAAAGAATGGGATTCTTATCTCACATGAATTTCGGGCAGAAATTTTAAAACATATTCTTCTGACTAAGCCCTTCATTCTGGGCTTGTTGTTTCACTCCCATATGCATCTAAAAAATGGTGTTAGGTTAGACCCAGTCTACAAAGCTTGTTGGCTAGAGTACAAATTTCTGATATACTGTGTAGTGGACTTTATTTTTCTAGCACATACTTTCTATTTCTAACTAAAGTATGAATATTTCTGAATTTAGTGGGAGAGGACATGTGAACTAAAGTGTTTCTTTTATAAGCATTAAATGTAATTATATTTTGATTTGTATTGTATTCTCTTTTTGATATATTTATGTACCAAAAGGTATATTTAATTAATTTGTTTCATCTTCTCAACCCTCTATATTAGGTTGATTAGATATCTACATTTTTACTGAATAAGACTAGATCAGGTTAAGGGCTTTGCCTAAAAATGTATCTGTTCTTTGAGTAAATGCAGGGTTGGAAATAGAACCCAGGTCTTTTGACTCTTAACCCACTTTTTTCCCCATTGCACTACATAAGCCATCCTGTTTGTGACGGTGAACTTTATAGAGTGAAAACATGTTTTCCTGGAGACCTTTTTTCTAACCTTACTTCATAAATCCTTTATTTCCAAAATGAATGTGTTTCTCCTAACTGAATCATACTTTGCAAAATCACATTTGTAAATTTAATTTGAAGACTATTTGCTTATTCCCACAGCAAATAATTCTGAGTAAATTGGACATGATAACTAGTGAGACAAATGATTTTGCACAATATATGTTGCTATAGCAATATTTAAGTCCTTAAAAAAAATTCTCACCGATAATGTGTTTATAGACTCCATATGTCAATATTCTATTAATTCATTTTTTGGTTTATGTTCATATTTTATTTTAGAAACATCATTCACTTTCCTGAAAGTATAGTGCCAGAGCACAGAACACACAATCCAAGTTTGCTAAATTAAGTCATGTAAAGAAACTATTGCCATTGTATAACCTTAAGGAGAAAATCTCGACAATATTTCTTGATCCAAGAGTCTAAGGATGAGTTAAAATTATTAGCATAAGATCTGCCTCAAAAAGTTCCTGCTTTTTAAATGGTCCTTTAAAATAGTTAACCCTAAAATCTTCAACAGGTGTCTGGCGACAGTAAAATTAGAGTTTCTTTTATCCTAGAGATCCCGTCTACCTCCATCCCCGTCTTCTCTAGATAGATATTATTTCTAGATTTTTCCCTTTTGATTCCACTCCAGGAAAAAACATGACTTCTAAATAAAAGATTCGTGGTGAAGAGGAGAGTGCTTGCTATTAGGAATTTGCTCTGTAAAAGTGTAAAAAAAGTAATCTATACTCAGTATTCATTCGTTTGGTTCATCAAGTATATTTACCATAAGAACATACTTAATAAAAGTTTTGATAAACTGGTGTGTCACAATAAAATCTTGCATGAAGAGGGCCCTAAACGCATTTGCAGTCACTGAGGTGTTCAGTTAGATTCAGCCAAACACAGCCACGTCCTAAGTTTGCAGTGCCATCGTGATGGGGGGCAAGCCTTAGTAGCTGCGGTGGGCCCCTTTGTGAGGATGATAAAAATGAGATCGCACGTTACTTAGACATGAGTCAGGTACAGAAATTCTGTGTTAAAGATGGAAAAGCGGGATCTCTCCAAATGTTGCTAAAATTTATATTTGATTTGAAGCTTTTTACTTAAAAGCACTTCCCTCCAGATATTTTAAACTAGTGTGTTTGCTATTTCCTAGGATGAAGAATTCCCCATTTTTTAGGAATTTTTGAAAACATTGTATGTATTACTTGTATTCCTTCAATGAATATTTCTTTCTTATCCCATTATTACATTTGGGCAAATATTAAAAGTAAGATGGTTGGGGTAAAAGTTATGCATAATGACATGTTACTAAAAAAACGGATATAAGAATTCCTTAGCAGTAGCCACACCCACCTAGCTAACTTTTACGAGAATTCTTCAGGGACTGGATTTAGGGGTTAATCTGTAGAATTATTTTTTAAATATAAATTATATCTTAGGCTGTATTTTTATTTTTTTAAGTGAAAAAAATCAAAATGTGGTTGATTTGCTTGTTCCATAAGCGTCTTAAAGACCACTGAACAAATTATGATGCCGTCACATGGTGTATCAACTACCATTACTGTGATTGTGAAATAAAGAGAAAGGTTGCTTTGCTCGACCCCCGAGATGATGCAGTCAGTTGTTTTTACGTGACCTAAATCATGGCTGTACGTATTTCATTTTTCAAAAAATCAGTAAGGCATAAAATAATTAATGAAAATGCCTGTCAAAGTTTAAAGATATTGGAAGCCTTCTTCTTTTCGCCTTCTTACAGGTGAATGTACTTAAAGTGATTGTGATTTCATCTTGGAATATGTATTTATTTATGTAATTTTTGTGTATATAGTAGGTCTGAACTTGACATATAAAACATGGAAAAGAATTAACCAAAAATGAAAGAACTGGCTTTTTCATACAAATACATATTTTGTTTTTAACTACACATAATGTAGATTTATTTAAATCAGGAATATATTGTCAATCATTTTAAAAGTATGTTCAGTTTAATATGTTTCTGCTTCTTCATTTTCAAGCAAACTTGTTTGACTACTGAGTCGTTTCCCATTAACTTCCGTTTATACTGTCTCTGTTGTTGTTTCTAAGTTTCACTACATAACTAATTTGAAATCAAATGTTGAATTCCTCTATGGGAGTATGTGTTTTGCCTGCAGTTTTTAATATATTTTGAAATTCATCTCTTTCTTACTAGACTGTGAGCTCCTTGTGAACAAGGACATTTATCTTAGTTATAATAACAATTTTAATGTCTGGCAAAGTGCCAGGCACAGAATAACTCCTTTATTGAAATGAATTGAT